CATTATGTATACATATCACCTTGTCTTTATCCATTCATTTGTTAATGGACACTTACGTTCATATCATAATTTGGCTATTGAGAATAGTGCTTCAATGAACATAGCAGTACAGATATATCTTCAACGAACTGATTTCAAATCTTTTGCATAAATATCCTGAAGTGGCATAGCTAGATCATATGGTAATTCTATTTTTAGTGTTTTGAGGAGTCTCCATACAGTTTTCCATAATGGCTGTACTAATTTATGGTCCTATCCATAGCATATAAAGGTTTCTCTTTGCTCCATATCCTCACCAATATTTGTTATCCTTTGTCTTTTTAATAATAGCCATTAAAGTGTAAGATGATATCTCATCATGGCTCTAATTTACATTCCCTTAATTATTAATGTTAAACATTTTTTCATATACTTGTTGACCATTTGAATGCCTTCTTTTTGAGCAATGTCTATTTAGTTCCTTTTCTCATTTTTTCTTTTTTCTTTTTTTTTGCTATTTAATTATTTGAGCTAATTATGTACTATCAATATTAATACCCATTGGATGTATGGCTTATAAACATTTTCTCTTAATCCATAGGTTGACTTTGCACATTGTTAATTATTTCTTTTGCTGCAGGGAAGCTTTTTAGTTTTATGAAATCCCATGTGGCAGTTAAGCTTGATTGTATCAACTTGACTGGCTTAGGAGCTACCTAGTGGAGTAGTAAAATACAGTTCTGGGTATTTCTGGGTAGGTTACAGAGGTGTGACTTTGGATACCATATGCAGTCTCTGTTACTGTTCCCTTCCTGAGCTTCCCAGACACCATAAGGTGAGCAGCATTCCTTTGCCAAGTCCCTCCACCATGATTTTCCTGCCTAGGAACCAGCTAACCAGGGACCGAATCCTCTGAAATTTTGAGCCAAATAAATCATTTCATCCTCTAAGCTGTGGGTGTTGTTATTTGGTTCCAGCAATGGTGAAGCTGACCAATACATTTCATTTTTTTTTTTATTGTTTGCACTTTGATATCAAATTCAAAAAAAAATCACTGCCCCGACCAATGTCATGTGTTTTTTTTTTAATGTCATGTGGTTTTCTCCTACGTTTTCTTTTAGTAGCTTTACAGTTTTTGGACTTTATATTTAAAACTTTCATCCATTTTTACTTGATTTTAAAAAATTTCATGTGAGATAAGGGTTCATTTTCATCCCATTTCATTTGGATATCCAGTTTTCCCAACACCATTTGTTGAAGTACTATTACCCCGCTGTATAGTCATGGCATCTTTGTTAACAATTGATTGATTATAAAATGCATGAATTCATTTCTGAGCTCTTGATTGTGTTACATTGGTCAATTTTTTTCTAGTACTATGTTGTTTTAATTACTGTAACTTTTCAAATCAGTATGACACCCTCAACTTTGTCTTTTTTGTTCATTATTGCTTTGGCTTTTGGGGGGGATGACATTGAAATTTTAATAGAGATTGCGTTGAACTGTGAATCACTTTGGGTAGCACTGACAGTTTAACAATAGTAATTCTTCCAATCCCCAAATATGGGTTATCTTTTCACTTGTTTGTGTCTTCTTCAAGTTCTTTCATTGGTGTTTTATATAACTTTTCACCTCTTTGGTTAAATTTATTCTTAAGTATTTTTTGAAACTATATAAATGAGATTGTTCTCTTGGCTTTCTTGTATAATTTATGGTTAGTGTTTTGAAATGCAACTGACTTTTTTCAATTTTTATTTTTTATGTGCTTTACGTGTTTGTAGTACATAATGATCACATTCTGCATGGGGAGTTGGTACATGTACACAACACATCTCAGTTCTTCTTTCATCCCCTTCTCCTTCTCTCCCTCTCCTTCATCTCTTGGTCCCCTTCACATTTGCAAAAGAACTATCTCCCTACCTCCTATTATCTATCTTTTACTTTGTTCTTTATTTATACTTTGGGTTTCTCATATTAGAGAAGGCACGCAATGGATAGGCTTGGTGTTTGATTTATTTTGTTTAACATTATGGTCTCAAGGTGCATCCTCCTATAAATGACTTGAATTTGTCCTTCTTTATAGCAAAGTAATATTCCCTTGTGTGTAAATACTGCATTTTCTTTATCCATTCATCTGTTCATGGTCAGATAGGCTACTTCCAAGATTTAGCTACTATGAGCTGTACTGCTATAAACATGGGCATACACATATCACTGTAATGTGATGTCATTAACTTTTTAAGGAAGATACCTAGAAAGGGAATAGCTGGATCAAATGGGATCTCAATTTTTAGTTTTTTGAGGAATCTTCATACTGATTTCTACAATGTTGTACTAATTTACATTTTCACCAACAATGTAAAAATGTTCTTTTATCCCCTCAGCCTTACCCACATTTGTTTTAAGTTTCTGATTTTTTTTTGGTACTGGGGATCGAATTCAGGACCATGTGTTTATGAGGTAGGTGCAGCGCCACTGAGCTAAATTCCTGGGCCTGAGGTTTTTGTTTTAAGTTTCTGATTTTTTTCCCCAACATTTGTTATTATTTGATTTCTTGATGATAGCCATCCTTTCTGGAGTTAGGTAGAATATCAGTGTTGTTTTATCTCACATTTCTCTAATGGCCAGAGATGTCGAACATTTTTTCATGAATTTATTTGCTATTTATCCTTCTTCTTTTGAAATGTGTTTGTTCATTTTAACTGCCCAGTTTTTGATTGGGTCTTTTATTTGGGGAAGTCTAAATTTTTTATTTTTTATTTTATATATTCTAGATGTTAGTCCTCTGTTTGAGGACTAGCTGGCAATTTTTTCCCCATTCTGTGGGTTGTCTCTTCACTATGTTGCTGGTTTCCATGAAGAAAATTTCTAATTTTATATGATCCCATTTGTTGATTCTTGACATTGGTTCTGTTCAGGAAGTCCTTGCCTATGCCTATGTCTTCAAGAATTTTACCTATTTGATCTTCCAGCAGAGAAAGTGTTTCTGATCATTGATCCATTTTGATTTTAGTTTAGTACACGGTGAGATATATGGGTCTAGAGTCAATCTTTTGCATGTAGATACCCAGTTTTCCCAGCACCATTTGTTAAAGAGGCTGTCTTTCCTCCAGCATATGTTTTTGGCTCCTTTTGCAAAGATCAGATGGCTGAATGCACCTGCGGTTGTTTCTGTAGCCTCTATCTGGTTCCAGTGATCCATGTGTCTGTATTATGCCATTGTCATGCTGTTTTTAATCACTATAGAAATGCTACTGGTTTTTGTGTTGGTTTTATATTCTGCAAATTTTATGTGTTTATTCATTAGTTCTAACAGATTTTTTTTTTTGGTGTTTGTAGGATTTTCAATATGAAAGATCATGTCATCAGCCAACATGTGACAATTTCACATTTTAATTCACTTATTTCCTTTTCTATTTAAATGCCTTTTCTTTCTCTTGCTTAATTGCTCTGGCAAGCACATTAGTCTTAAGAGATGGACCATGGAGAAGTTTAATGCCTTCCCCGAGGTCACACAGCTTTTACAGTGCAGAGTTGAGACTAAAATCCAGGGGATCTGATTCCTGAATCAGTGTTTTTTTTACTGCTTCCTGCTGTCCCTAACCAGCCTGGTCTAACTGGTCTTTAACTGAATGTGAATCACTGAATGTGACCACCAAGAAAGAAAATCTGATAGATACTGAGAGCAAATATGCTTCAATTTTGCCTTTCACAACTTCCTAACCAGTTTTCTTTTTGGAAGAAAACATTTAGCCCTGTGGTTTTCTGTGTACACCAGGGTGTGACTGGTTTTGTAATCTTACCAGTACTCTTTAGTTTAAAAGGTCAGCTATAGACCATTGAGATAATATTTGGTAATTCTCTCTAGATTTTTGCCCTTTCTGTATGAGCTGAAAAACTAAAATAAGAGGGAATATTTTGAATGTTTTAGGTTTTGTTTAACTTGCTTGAGTGTTCAGCAGTCTTGCTTGTACTTTAAGGTATGAAATAGAGCTGCAACTGATGGTTCACAGTTGTAATGCCAGCACCCCAGGAGGCTGAGACAGGAGGATTGCAAGTTCCAGCCCAGCCTGGGCAACTTAGCAACTTTAGTGGGACTTGGTCTCAAAATTTAAAAAAGGCTGGGGATGTAGCTCAGTGTGAAGGCCCTGGGTGTAATCCCCAGTAACTAACACACACACACACACACACACACACACACACACACACACCGAGTATGAAATAAACTGTTGCTAATGTGTTGTTTCACTGTTTACATGTTCTCTACTTTGATTGTAAGTTTTCTTTGGATGAAGCCATTATTTATCAAGCACAGTCTTATCATATTTTGATACTTTCCAAATGTTTAAATGTAACCCAGACATCAGCTCAGTCTTCCTGGTTCCCACCCTTGCAGGGATTTCTGCACATTCCCGGTAAGATTTTTTGTGGCTGGTTCTCCCCAAGGACTTGCCTTGCCATCTGCCTAGAGGCATGACTTCCTTGTACAGACCTGCCCTTAACATTCGCATATCCCAGGGCACGGTCAGCCAAGAGTAAGAGCTGAGGCTCACAAACCTAGTAACTAAATATGTAACAAATCTTTTCATAAAATATCTATTCTTCTTCCACCTTGACAAATATAACTTTATAAAAACCTAGTAGGTCAGCCTGAAATTTAGAATTCTTGCACATCTTCTGGTACCCCACAGGGAGTGGACAGAGTGGGGAGAGCTAGGCCTTTCCTGGCTGTGCTTGTCACAGCTCTGAAATGAAAAGTTCTGATAGAATGCTGTGAGTTTAACCACTAAACCTCTACTGCTCCTTAGCACACCTGTCATCTCAGGAGTCTGGGAGGCTAAGGCAGAAAGATTGCAAGTTGGAGTCCAGCCCAGACAATTTAGTGACTTAGCAAGACCTTGTCTCTAAATAAAAAATAAAAAGGGTTATGGATATAGCATATCGTGAAGGCCCTGGGTTCAGTACCCAGTTGAAAAATCACATACTGGTCCTAATCCTTTGGCTGTCCAAATTCAACACTAATTTATCTCCAAAGGACAAAGCTCTGGTCGCACTCCTGTGCTCAGGTGAAGGATCTTTAGAGTTTCCTGTACTTAAGTTGAATAGTCAGAGAGGGTTCAATATCAAGGAAGTCAAGCAAGAAATTATGTGATGACTAACAATTGATTAATGATCATTTTATTAAAATCTTAAATAAATTATCTGGAAGATTGCCACGGCTCATAAAGGACTCAATTAATTTGTAGAAAACCCCTGCCTTCCTGTGACTGATAATGAATTTGACTGATCATAATGATAATTAGGATAATAGGATTTTTTAGAAGTGCTTTGAAGTTTATACAGTACCTTACTAAATATTATTTTATATGGTCACAGCAGGGATCTAAATCAGTGGTAGCCAACAGAGCTTTCTCCAATGATGGAAATGTTCTGTCCTGCTCCACCCAGTAGGTAGCCACTAGCCACATGGACAACATGGAGGAGGGGTGGATATTCAAATGAAAAAAATCAGGACACTAAACCAGGTGTGGTGACGCATGTCCATAATTCCAGCACTCTGGGAGGCTGAAGCAGGAGGATAGAAAATTCAAGCCCAGGCCAGGCAGCTTAGTGATTTTGCAAGGCTTTGCCAAAACCAAACCAAACCAAACCAAAACAAAACCCCAGATACTTCCGCCAGGAGATGAAATAAATGGTTGGACAAGAACAGCAGATATCCACTGAAATGCACAATACATTCCAAATTATAATAAAAAAACTATTTTTGGTCACTGACAGAGTGAAGCAAACAAGCTTCAATAAAGTTTATAATTTTATAGATTTTTAAAAAACATTGCTCTCAATTGCCTGTGTTTTTCTGGCTGCGGAGACCTCTGTGTATTGAGCAATTGGACAATCTGAGTCCAACTCATTTTGCTAACTGTTGCCATTAGGAGGACTTTCCTCTGAACTACGATGAGACTTCTCTTGTACTGTACTCTGATATCAGTCCTCCATTATTTGTTGTGACTATAAAAGGTACTAAGTCTACCTATTTTATCATCATTAATCTGCCTAATAAAATTACTTCCCTGCATTATGGTGGCATTTTCATGACATCAATCAATTCTCTATTTAACCTGTGTTACCAAAGGTGCTTTGGAGGACTTTAGTGTCACCATAACCTCTGCTTGTCCCACCCACCCAAAATTAACATTAAGTTAAAACTGCACTTGCTTGTCAATGAAGCTTCAAGAAAATTCTTAGTGCTCTCATAACTACCCAATAAAGCCATCTTTCCTATGCAGGATTCTAGAGTTGTCGTTGTCTCAAAAGATTAAATACCCTAGTATTCTAATAATGTTCCAGTTATGAATTATTATTGCAAAAGAAAAGTATGATTGTGTAAATAGCAAAAAATTAACTCTGAGTACAAATATGGGAAAGCTATCATTTTGACTGAGGGCATGCCAAACTGATGGAGCCAGACATGTTTGCCAATGCATTTGTTAAAGGTTGAATAAACACTATAATGTGCATAAGCAGGAACACAAATGCTTACACTGAAACTTTACTATGTTGTTTGAGTATCCAAAAGAAGCTTCCATTGATTTCTAAGTATTATCTTTAAAATAAATGTACAAAATTTATAAGTTTTTGAAGAGAATGCTCACACTTCTAAGAAAAGACTCAGATCCCCAGAGTGTTTGAGAAACACCAAAATAATAGAAAGGTTATTCATATGAGGCTCTGCTAGGCAAAATGACCTCACCTGTCTGGGGCAGCTTCTTCATTCTGAAATTGGAAATAACATTTATTCTATAGGGTGTTGTGAAAGTTAAACACGATGTTGCATATTCCACATCATGGCTCCTGTAGCATAGTCATGTTTGGATAATGAAGATCACATAGGATTGGTATTCAGGAGGATACAAATGAGACCAGGCTTTGCATTTCAGGTCATGTGACCTTGGGCAAGTGCAGATTTGAACTTCAGCTTCTTTATAGATAATATAGCAATGGTATCAGTGTCCTTTTCGCTGGATGGAAGGAATAGGGGGAAGTAAAGTTCAGTGCTGTGCATGCAGTAGATCTCTTTATGGTTTCCTTTTTTCCATTTCTCCAGTTTTCCCCCAAACCCTAAAAATAAAGGACTCTTTTCCAGTGCTAGCTAAATTCCTTGTGAGGATGCAAGCTTTGTACTGACAGTGATTTTCCTGGGTCTTTTTTACAAAAATCTTTCTGAGACAACTAGAACACTAGCCACTTGATAATTTTCTCATGAATTCAACTGCTCTACCCAGTACCCTAGGCTAAAGGACAATGAATTCACTTGGTCTCTAAGAGGGAAGAAAAAATTTTTAAAAAGGAAGCTGAGATTGTCCTCCCACTTTTAAATGTATTTCACAATTTTGTCCGTCTAGAACATTTCTACAATCTCTGGTCCAAAAGTTATGTACACTTATTTTGATAATCTGATCAGCCAGTTTAAAGGAATATTTCGTGTTTATGAAATGTAAGCTTTGATGGAACTTTCCATACAAATAAAAGGGTAGAGATTAATATCATACTTAATACTTACCCTTTAAATCCATCCATTCAAAATTATGCATGAAATACTTTCCATGTGTTCATCTTCTGTTGGACTTTGATTTTAAAAATAGAGAAAGTTTCATGAAAAACAAATATATGTCACAACTGTATTCTAGCAGTCAGCAAATATACTGGGCAAATAAGACATTTCTTTTGCTAGAGTCAATAATCACTGTTGCTGCATCTGTCATGATAGTTACAGGTATAAATACTCTAAATGTGAAGTTAGGTCTTTAGGGAAGGGAAATAGGCAGAAAAGTAGAGCTACCACCAAAGAGGGAAGGTCTGGGGAGCTAGTAAAGCTGGGTTCTAGTCCTATCTGTTTAACAAACTTTAAATCCCTGTGCATAGATATAATCTCTTCCTAGTTATTTTTATGTTGATTATTGGTGCTGGGAATTGAACTCAGGGCCCTGTGCATGTGTTCTGCCACTGAGATACACCTCTAGGCCTAGAGTTATTTTTAAATTGTTAAGTTGAGGTGTTTGGATGGTTCTTTTCAGAACAGTCAATTGTCCTTTGGGAATAGTTGGTTGACTAATTCTTGAAACCTGTGGTAGTTGTAACTGGAGAATGACTAGATCATAAGGTTAATAGGGTAGGGATCATGGCTGTTTCGTTAACTATTGAACACTGGACTCCTGTTCGTATAGATACCTGATAAAACACTGCTGGAATGGAACGATTGAGGACTGGCTAGCCAGAAGAATGTGTTTACTTCCAATTCAGAGTTAGTTGCACGTAAAGCTCTTGAGCAATGAATCTAAAAGTTAAGAATCAGTGTAAATTTAGGGAAACTACAAAGGGAAGTAAATTCTACAGTCCGCCTCCATGGATAATATGGGTGAGGATTCTGATACTCCAGTCTATCACTGGTATCTATAGGTTAGGTACTTTTGTGACATACCCAAAGAGCATGACTCATACTGATAGATCCACAAGTTAGACAAAAGTCTTTTCTAAATGGAACAGATGTCTGTGGTGTTGATGTTACCTGACTCAACAGTGACTAATTTCTTTAGTGGATCCTGACCTTCCATCTTCCCTCTTACTCTTGGCATCTACCATAATCACCAGGCTAATATTCATAGGTCCAGATTAAACCCCAGAAAAAATAAGAAAAGGCAAGGATTGTGTTGTTGGTGCACACTGTTCTCAGGTTGGCAAAGTACAGCCTCAGAGATCCAGCTTAACTGGATGTTCCAGAACAAGGCTGTTTCATGGGTAGACACAGCCCAGGCAGGGTGGGGAGAGTTACAAAAGCCACTCCTGTCCCCAGTCCAAACTAGCCAGGATGCAGCAGAGGGACTGTTTTCTTTAAACTCAGCGCTTACATATGTGAACTTCTCTTGGCATTTAATTGCATTCTTTTTTCCACAGTTCCTTTTCTGGTTTAGAGCTCAAAACACTCATGCCAGGTATCATTGAAGTTGGCTAGGTATTTGCAACTTGTTAAGTGTCTAGCTAATGGAAAGTTGGGAATCAGCGTTGGAATCTTCCCCAGCAAGCTTTAAAGTGCTTTGTCATAACTACGTCCTGTCTTTGATGGTTGCAAACCGGAGGTTGAGAGTTCCAATAGGCATGCCAGTTTCTCAACAAAATGAGCCGTAATTAATTTCATTATAATTGTTTTCTTCTTTTGTTTTTCTGATACCTACCTTCAGAACAGAAGTAACACCAAAGCACTTAGTTTCATTAACATTCAGATAGACCACACTGGCATCTCATCAACTACCTTCCAAAGTGTCTTAAGGACAGCTGATATTTCTTTTAGTAAATATTAGATTACAAATTTAAAATTTTATTATTAGCAGTACATTTAGTTACTCTGTTTACATTTTTCACTTAATAGATGTGGAAACTGGGTTTTAAAAAAGGTTGAGTAATTTCCTCTAGGCCACATTGCTAGGAGGCAGCAAAGTTAGAGCTAAAACCCAGTGATCTTAACTCTCAAATCAGTGCCCGTTTCTCTGTTCCCAAAATATATTCCCTAAAATGTGGCCCATAAAATGCTATTGGTCCCCAAACCTCTTTCAGAGGGCCAATAAGGTCCAAAGTATCTTAACAATACTAAGCTGAATTAGCCTGATTGTCATTCTCTCATGAGTGTGGAGTGGAATTTGCCAAAGATCCATGACATGAAATACCACAACAATGAATATGAAGGCAGATATGAGAATCTAATTGTCTTCTGTTATGTCAGACAACAAAAAGATTCTGCAAAGTTATGAAACAATGTCATTATTCTCACTAGTTTTTGAGAAATACTTTTTGTTCATAGCAATGAATTGTTTATGTTGACATATAATGAAATTACTATTTTTATTACAAAATAAATAGTGTTAAAAATTTCTCAGTTGTTATTTACATATATATTAAAATATGATGTGTTTAAATAAAAATATTATTACAGTAAAAGACACATTGCCATCAGTTCCCCTTGAAATACTTTCCTCACATTCTGAAGCAGTTCTGGAAGTTCTTCTTCCAGAGTGTCTTGATGTCCTAGATCAATTAAAAACGTTTACTTTTCATGGTCATTTTAACTTTGAGGAAGAGCCACAAATCCCATGGTACCAGATCCACTGAATAAGGTGGATGAGGACACACTGCAACATTTTTGCTAGCCTGCTTGGCATTGGAAGGCACACAGCAGCAGCATTCATTGTATTTTTTCATCACATCCTGTAAGGACATTCACAAAAGAGAACTTCCAGAACTGCTTCAGAAAGTGGAAAGAACCATGAGATAGTGTGTTCAAAGTGACGGGGAATATTTTGAGAAGGATTCATGGCCATGTGTCTTTTATTGTAATATATTAAATTTTTTGAAGATTCCTCATTTTTTATCACTTCTTGTGTCAGATGCCTAGGTAGATGGGCAGATAGATGGATAGATAGAGAATCTCCAACATTTACAAAATTATTGGCAACCTCAACAATTTCAAAAAGCGTAAATAGCGGATAAGGCCCGAGGTCTGAGAACTACTGCTCTACACCACACTGTGTAGACATAAGCACGGCTCCGGACAGGGCTGCAATAGCTCCAGAAACTGTCCTTTAAGACGCATTACCTAATTTTTGCTTTATACAAATTACATCAGTCAGGATCCCACTGGGAAACAACACACTTAGGCAGCACTGAGGAAATCTTCCTAAGGAGTCATGAGCAGGAGGCCAGGAAACAAACCACGGAGGGCAGACTGCCAAGTTAGCTCTACTGCCCTGTGCTCAAAGGGGCAAAGAGGTTTCTGGAGCCAGTTTTACCTGTTGCTGTAGGAGGCAGCTGCTTGGCAGGGAGGGAATAAGCCTGGCTGGAAAGTGGTCCAGATATTTTGGAGTTGAAAGTTGTACAATTTGCATTGCCCCTTTAAGAAAAATAACACAAAATTATGTGTGAAAGCAAACCTGCATCTATAATGATTTAAAGAAACCCACAACTTCCAAACTTGAATAGCATGACCAATATCATATATATCACAAATCCAAAAAAATAGTGTAATATTTTATTAATAGCCTGAAAGCAATCTCTAAAATACCATTTTCTATATTTTGACTTCATATTCCTTGGTATTCTCTTTTTACACAAAATGTCATATTTTTAGTAGAAAGAGTAGATTTATCAAAATTTATATGGGTACTATTAATAGTTTAGAAAAATTTGTTTCAACTTTGTAACTTACTACTGGTAACAATAAAACTTATAGACTATCATCAAGGTTGAAAATATAAATATCTTTCATATAGGCATTGCCAGACTTCAGCATCCTAAGTTTGCTTATGGAGTAGCTAATCTTAAATACTCTTTGAATGGATCATATGTATTTAGCATTCTTGTTGTGATACTATATTATGAGTTTTATGTTATTTTTATCAATATCAGTATTTTGTGTCACACCAGCAAGAAATTAATAAGAAGATAACCATTTGTGATCAGGCAAGACCACCCCAGGATAAGGGAAATCTGTGGGCAATGCCTGGCTCAGCAAAGACATGGATTTCAGCTTGGGACAGTGAGGGGGATAGGCAGGGCTGTAGTGGAGAGTAAAACTTGAGTGAAAAGACCAGAAAAATGCCCTGGAGTCTGATGAGGAGGTGGGAAGAGAGTGTCAAATGTTGGCAAGTGGCTGAGGATGGGCTAATGTGCCTGCAGGTGGAGGAATCAGGCTCACTGATGATCAAGAGGCACAGGAAGGGAAGTACAGACCCTTAGTACTAGAGTGAAAGCTCTGCTACCTTCTTGCCTCTGAAACCTCACAGACAATAACTTAGCATATACATGGAAAGAACTGTGAACCGCATAATTATATTCTATGACTCTTCAGTTCGGTGTCTTCTCAGCCAGATGCCAAAAAATACCTACAGCGCTCGCAGTGACATCTGCTAAGACAGGCAGTGTGTGTGTCGGGGGAGAAGTCAGAGTTGAAAGAAACATGGTCATACTCAATCGTGGTTAAAATATCTTCTTTTTTAAAAGGATCATTTTTATTAGTGTACATATGGCTTATATCCAGATGTTCCCCAAGAACCTCATACTGAGTGCTCATAGGCGAGTCTTTTGGAAGGTGACTGGATTTGGGGATTTATAGCTGACTTGTTAGGAGGTGAGATCTGGTCAGAAGAGGTGGGTCACTAGGGGGTGTGGCCTGGAACAGTTTATTTTCCTCTTTAGCTCCAGCCTTCTCCGTTTGCTTCCTGGATGCCATGTCATGGACAGCTTTTCTCTACCCAGGCCCTTCCACTGTGCCACCAACCAGGCAAGGACGACTGAATCTTCTAAAACGTGAGCTAAAATAAACCTCTCCTCCTTTACGTTGAGGGTGTTGGGTCATGTTTCTCAGTGATGAGGGGAGTGACTAAGACAGGATATATTTGCAAGAAATATTTTCCTTTTTAAGTTTCAGGAAAACATGCTGCACGTAAACACATTGTGAGAATTCCCCCCAGAATTTTGGAAGCAACATGAGCAGCAGGATTTAAGCCTCATTAGATTTGCGGTAAATCCAATTTTGGAGCTGAGATAATGAAAACCATGGCCTCCGTCTTCTCCTGAGTTCCATCTTATGCTGGCCTCCTATTGATTCAACCCAACAGGAAGCCAGGGTGCCAGGAAGCCAAGTGCATAGTGAAGTCAGGGCTTCCGGAGAAAATCTCCATGACGGTGTAGGCGATGACTTTTTGTATTTGACCTCAAACCCAAGCAGAAAGGCAAAAATAAACAAGTGGAATTACATCTGTGATGATTAAGCTTGATCGTGTCTACTTGCTTGGCTTGTGAGCCACCCGGCACATTGGTGGAGCACTTCTCTGGGTGTGCCTGGGTGAGTCACGGAGGTGTGGCCTGGGTACTATCTCTGGTCCCTTGCCTCTTTCTCTCTGTCACTGTTCCCCAGCTCTGCCTCCCCGCCTCCATATCTAAGCAGCTCTGCCCCTCACACCCTTGCGCCATGATGTTTCTGCCTTGGAACTAGCTGACCATGGATTGAATCCCCTTAAAAAGTCAGCTAGATTAAACCTCTTCTTTATATTGTGGGTGTGCAGTATTGTATCCAGCAACAGGAAGTTATTACTACAACCTCAAGCTAAAAACTTCCGTGTACCAAAGGAAACAATCAACAGAGTGAAAAGACAACCTCCAAAAAAGGAGGATATATTTGGAAACAATATTTCTAATAAAGGATTAACATCCAAAATACTCAATTGAATAGCAAAAAACAAATAACCCGATCAAAAATTGGGCAAAAAAAAAAAATTGGGTAAAAGGCCTGAAAAAACATTTCACAGAAGACATCCAAATGGCCAATAGGCAGGTATATGAAAAAAGTTCTCATTATTGCTAAATCACCAGGGAAATGAAAAGTAAAATCATAATGGGATAATTAGAAAGGCTACTATCAAAACCACAAAAAATAATAAGTGAGCTCAGTCCGGTGGCATACACTTGTTATCCCAGCACTTTGGGGAGGATTTGAAAAAAGAAAGGATGTCTGGGAACATAAAGTGCCTCTGAATTTGCTCCCCCTTTCCCACAAATAAAGGATCACAAGTGTTGGTGATGAAGAAAGGGAACAGTTGCACATTGTTGGTAGGAGTGTGCAGCCATTATGGAAAACTGCATGGAGGCTCCTCCAAAAATAAAGTAGAACTACCAAATCCTCCAGACGTCCCACTACCGGGTCTATATCCAAGGGAAATGAAATCAATACATTGAAGAGATATCTGTGTTCCCACCATTTATTATGACGCTATTCACAATGATCAAGTATGGAATAAACCTAAGTGTCCATCAACAGATGAATGTATAAAAATGCAATACTTGGGCCCAAGTATTTAGCTCAGGATATAGCTCAGTGGCACCACTGCCTGCCTTGTAAGAGCAAGGTCCCGAGTTTGATCCCCAGTACCCCCCCAAAAAAGTGATACTTAAGCTAGGTATGGTGGTGCACACCTGTGAGCTAGCATATTCTGGGAAGCTGAGGCAGGAGAATTGTAAGTTTGAAACCAGCCTGGGCAACTTAGCAAGCCTGTTTCTCAAAATAAAAAATAAAAGGGCTGAGGATGTAGCTCAGTTGAAGGCCCTAGGTTCAATCCCCAGCATCACAACACAAAACAAAAAAGTATATATTACAGGTATTTAGAAGCTTGGCCTACAGATGCCCACTGGGTAACTGAAAGTGGATGAACGCAGCATCTCTGACTTTGGTTTATATCTGGTTCCCTTATTACCTTAAAACTGGGTCAGATCTCTGTTCAGCTCAGCTCAGAGGCATGTTAATTGCTTAAGGACTGTCTGCCTAAAAACTGGTTTTTTAGCATTAAAGTTTATTAGCCATAAATTTACCTAGTTTGTCTCATCCCCCTTTAAGACGGAGGACACCAAGATAAGAATAACTAAGGTATTTCAAGATTTGTGGGGATATTCAGTTGTAAACTTTTGCAATGTCCAATTTCAAGACCCCCTGGAGTAGTGCCTAGAAGGCTGTAGTCATTTTCCTAAACTTGCAGTCACCATGGATTCTAGGAAAAGCAGAGCCTCACAGAGAGATGGCTTCCCAATGAGATCACCTCCCCTCAGGGGGCAGTTACTGTTGGAGAAAAGGAAACTGATCTCTAAGCAGAAGCAGTGATCTCATGGGAACTGGATTTCCTGTTCCAACCAAAAGAAATTCTCCAGCACCACTCACAGAACCAGTCCTGTGGTCATGATCAACCAGACCGTGGCAGGACCAGTGTGACCTACGCTGTCAGCTATGCAAACCCCTAACCTTTTGTCTCCCTTTTCTTATGAAACCTCAAAGTTGCTGTCAGCCTCATGAAAACATATCTTGAACCTCTGTATCTTTATTCTTCCCAGAATGGCTATGTTGATTAAAGCTCTTTTTCTTGCCCTTTACCTTGACTCATCTCCTTGATTAGCATTTTGGGACCAATGACAAAGCCTGGTCTTTTGGGACCCCCAGAGCTGGGGCTATCACCCCAAAACTCTGGTAATATATATGCACAATGTAACACAATTCAACAGTAAGAAAAGATTATGTCCTATGTGTCAAGATAGATGGAACTGGAGGACGTTATGTTGAGTGAAATAAGCCAAGTGCAGAAAAATAAATATTGCATGATCTCACTCATATGGAGAACCGGAGCATGTCAAACTCAGGGAAGCAGAGAGTAGAATAGGATTAACAGGAGCTGGGGGTGGGATGTTGGAGATATTTCAAAGGACGCAGAATTGTAGTTAGAAAAGAGAAATATGTTCAACAGCTGTCTGACACGCCAAGCTCGTGTTCTCTAAAAATTGAAGAATGAATTCTACGAACAATAGAGGTTAAGAGTAGAAAAATAGGGTCGAGGATTTAGCTCAGTGGTTTTGCTGCCTGCTGTGCAAGAGCAAGGACCTGAGTTCGATCGCTGGTACCAAAAAAAAAAAAAAGAGTAGAAAAATATTTATTGAGAAGACAGCTCCTGAGAGGCGACCCGAATGGATCAAGAGGAGGGGACCCGAATGGATAGCCCAGGAACCCTACTTTACTAGGAAGTTTTATAGAGCAAAACCTACGTAGGTACAACATTGGTTATAGCTATGTTTAATCAATAAGGTTACAAGTATAGTCACTTAGGTTAACAGTGATCCAATGGGGAAACAAGTCTCGTAACAAGTGTGCATGAAAAGAACAAAGATTTTCCTAGGAAATGAAGGGTCCAGAGGTCTTGGACTCCCACCAGGGTGACTGATGTCTATCTAGACTTCATTAGGCCCCATGTTTGTCTTTTCAGGAAGTATGCAGGCCTGGTCATTCATCTTTATCTTGAGGCCTGGTTTCCAACAGGTGTGTCTCCGGGCACAGTGGTGATATGTTTCACCTTTGTCCTGCCTCTCTCCAGCCCTATCTGACTGCCTGTAATATTTCTAACTTAGCTGTCTATAATAGCAGAACAGGGTGAGTGTTCTTAATAACAATGTATTCTTGGAAATAGACTTCAGTGTTGTCACTACAAAAACATTATAAGCATGTGAATTAGCTCAATTTAGCCATTTACAATGTATATAAATTTCACAATGTATATGAATTTTAATGTTTTATCTAATAAATGTATACAATTTTCATTTGTCAAAAAAAGAAAGGAAGCAAGGAAGGAAGAGAAAGAAAGAAAAGGACTCCTAGAGTATCTAATAGAATCTGGAGGATCAAGCAGAACATGTCTAGCTGTCATGTGAAGCATAAGCCAAGCCATGGCTTGGAGCTGTAAGCAACTGACCCAAGTCACAGTAGAAACCAGAAAGGATCATAAGGCCCAGTGCAAAGCAGCCCAGGCCTGAGGAGATGCGGGGGTTTCACATAAGGAGACGTGCACAGCAGTGGGAACAAGAGATGAGCATTGATACGAGAACCACTGGAGAAACCACATCCGTGATTAGATCCCTAAAGGGTCTCTTACTTTTTAGTTTCTTCTGTAGGGTTTTCTAATAGGCCTAGTGATGGGGCAAAAATGTCTCCTAGTTCTAACTAGCTCCTTTCACTTATATTTGACCTTGGAATACTTTTCATTCAGCCAACAGAGAAGTGAAGGAGACTTTCTTATGACATCTGGTTATGTTTCTATTTTGACCAAAGTTCAAAAACATGTGAGAAACAAAGGAGAAAAGAGACAATAAAGAGAGAGCAAAGGAAGGCAGAGAAGTGAGAATAGGAAACAGCAACTGGGAGCAGTTACTGCAGGGATTAGAAATATCAGTGTTATGAACAATAGTGCTATGCAATGTTCAGATGGTGGCAAAGCAATGGCATGCCACCCAGCCAGCTTGATGGCATAAAGGACCATTTTATAACATGAGAATCATCTTTTCACTATTACATGATAGCCCTGCATCATATATAGTGGCTGATAAACAGCAAGCAAAACTAGCTGCTTTCAAGAAACAAACAATTCTGGGATACGGATTCAATATTTCCTGTCCTGAAATACTGCATGTGGCCAGGTAGCTCAGATTAAGGAGGGCTTTCCTTACCGGTGGATTGTGTAGAATACACTGCTGGTCTCTTGTCTTCATTTCACTGTGGCTTCTTTTGATAATCAGGTGAAAGAACTGGAGAAGAGTGCTTCTCAATAGAAGAGAATAACAAAGTAAAATGGCGGAAGAGAAACGGACCCACAAAATGGAAGCTAACAAAGAGAGCTGAGAGGCACAAATGCCTGCCAAACTGGAGCTTTTGCAAAAGAAAGATAAACACTTTAAAAGGGGGGAAGAACAAAGAACACAAAGATCATGCTGATGAAACTGAAGCTGACTAATTTGTTCTGAGAACTGACTTTCTTCCCTTTTCTTACCTAAATATCCAGAGACTGTACTGGCCAGTGTCATTTTATTTTTTCCATCCTGACAAATATTCTGGAAGCTGATGAAGGACTATAAAAGTGGGTCTAGACTGTAAGATGTTGTTTTAGGGGATAACAGGGAGAAATTAAAAGTGTTTTACTCTTTTTCTAAAGTGTTGGTTTTTCTAGTGTAGCTACTTTTCTAGTTGCATCTTTTCTACTTCAGCACACTTGGTGTACTGGGTTAATGGCTAGTGCTGTATTGGCTCTGTGAAAACATGTTTGTGAAAAGAGTATGTAGTGGTTTTTTTCAAATTGTTAGATTCTGAATATCTATTCATTTTTCAATCCTAATTCTGTCTCAATTTTACCAGATGCTGCTATACTTGAATGGTTAATAAAATTGTACAGTGGCATTG